AGAAGCATCCTTGTTAAGACAGAAGAATGATAGATATTCAGTGTGTCTCAATATTTCAGGCCTCAGTGGAAGGCAACTGTGAGAGCAAAGAAAATGTCATCATCAGTGAAGAGTGCTTTCTCTTTAATCCCTCCTTTTCCTCTGTTCTCTTCTTGAGTCTTTTCTAATTAAAATTGGAGAAACTTTTCCTGCTGTGGTCAGTCAGAAGGAGATGTGACTATGGAAGAATGGTCAAAGAGATGAAGTGTTACTGGCTTTGAAGATGGAGGAAGATGCCATGAGCCAAGGAATGTGGGTGGCCTCTAGATGCTGGAAGGAAGAGGCAAGAAAACAAGTTCACACCTAGAGCCTTCAGAAAAGAATGCAGGCCTGCTGACACCTTGATTTTAGTCCAATGAGACCCGTGTTGGACTTCTAACCCACAGAACTGTAAGATAAGTTTGTGGTAATTTGTTACAGTAGCAAGAGAAAACTAATACAGTAGTCAAAATATGTCAATTTTCAGGCTTTTATTGAGAGTATGAACAATGTTTTGACGCTGGTTTTTGACCTCCTTTCTCTGAAACCAGTAAACAGTTAGCCATTAATGATTAGGTTGCTAGTAACTAATTTTTTTTTGAATTATTAATTATAGCTTTTAGTTGTTCGCCCACCCATTGTTAACTGGGCTGCTTAGGCAATATACTTTCTGACTCCTACTAGGTTCCTATAGATAATATCTCCCTGGTGCCTGGGTCACCATGGTAGTGGATGTGTGAGCTGTTTTTCAGGAATTAGGGCCCTCTTTGTCCAGTTTAGGGTGGTTGAGACCACCAACTCATCAACTGGACCTATGCAAATGCCTGATAAGTGACCCTTTTGGTGTCAAAGGGCTGAAAAGTGCACCCTCAGATCATGCTAACACCACCAATTTGTGAACGTGTCCTATGAAGAGCCATGAAGCTTGACTATGCTTGCACAGATCATCAATTACCTCACTTCTCCTTACCTCCGATCATCTGTCTTCTTGCTTCAGACCACCTTGCCCTCTACCCCATAAATATCCCTGAGTCCCCATTTTCAGGGAGCTGGATTTGAAATTTGTTCTCCTGCCTCCTCACTTGGCTGCCTTGTGATTAAAACCCTTTCTCTTTGCAAACTCATCATTTCAGTGATTGGCATGATCGTGCAGTGAACAAAACGAACCTAGTTCAGTAACAACTTCTGTAGGGGAGGAAAAATTTTCCCTCTCCCCTTCTACGTTCTTTGGTTGGTCTAATAATTGACATAAGACACATTACCAGGAGAAAAACAAATTTAATTATGTACATATGGAGCCCCATAAAAATATGAGACTCAATGGCAAGTTAGGCAAGCAATTGAGGCTTATATACCATCCTGAGCTGAGGAATGGGATAGGGACCTGTGGCTTCAAAGGGGAGGAGGGTAGTTCACAGGACAATAATAGCAGATGTTTGGTAATCAGATGTTTGCCCTGCCATAGAGATAGGTCATTCAGATAAAAAAGTTATCTCTGGTAATAGCTCTTTTTCTGGTATAGCCCCTCTATCTAAATTCTTTTAGGCAGTTAAGGAAGAGGTAAAAGGTTCTTCCTGAGTCAGTTGGACCTTGATTGCCTTCAATTTAAAATAATCCACATGTCAAAGTGGCCCATTTTGGGTGACATATTCTGCTTCCAACTCTCCAACTCTCCCAACTCCTCCCCTAACCCCATGCCAGATTGAAGGGTTACTCATTACAATTTCTGCTACAGTTTATTATTTTTTCTACTGGGGCTTTCACCTCTCTGGTTTAATCACCTCTTTTACATTTCTATGCCTTTATCAGTTGTGATAGGCAATGAGCTGATATGGTACTCTGATATCTGGAATTAGAAACATTATTGATGGATGTTTAAAGTCTCAAACTGACAACTTCTCATATGTGAGAGACAATCTGCAGGCAAAAATAATTGAGAAAATGAGGATCTTGAGGACAGATTTGATCTCATGCTGCTAGAAACAATCACAGCCCTGGGAGAGAGGATTTTAGACTTTAGAAAAAGGGCCCCATTGGCCCGAGGGAAAGTAATGTGTTTCTCTCTTTTTCATGAAGAGGAGAATAATATGCCACCCTCAAAATATGCCTCTTTGACATACTGATTTTGAGTTGGTTAATTTTAACAAACAGCAGACACAGGAGAAGCTCTGAAATCTGTGTAGAAGTTACCCTTTTGTAAGAGACGTTTACATTTATAAGGGAAATCTCCATTTGTAAGGATGTTTCCCTCTCTGTACCAGTAAGAGAAGATTGACTCTAAATCTCTAGAAACTCTTATCAATGGAAAAGACTATGACTTAAACCTGCATAACAACCTTAGCCTTGTTTACTATACTTTGCCTGGTGACCTCCCATAACTGGTTCCCCCAACCCCTAACATCTGTTGTCTTTAGCTGGAGATGGTATTTAAGGTGGTGGCTTGGGCCATTTCAGGGAGTTACTCAGTTTTCCTGGGAATCTCTCCTGTATACACATATTAAACTTCTCTTTGTTTTTCTTCTGTTAATTTGTCTTTTATTGTGGTGGGGGGGTCTTAGCCAAGGATCTAGAAGGATAGAGGGAAAATTATTTTTTCTTCCCCATGCTCATTTTCCCTGAAATTGATCTCCTTCTGTGATGGTGACTCTTTTAGCTTCAGGAGTCTACAAGCTGAAGTGGGTGGGGAGAAAAAGCTTTTTCTTTCAGAATTATATCATGCTAATTGGCCACAATCAGTACTACCCTTATTTTACAAGACCTGACTTTCATCAGTATAAAATTGTTGGTTGCCTATCTATCTTAGATTTCCTTATAAAATTGGTCCCGTATCTTTTATTCCTTTTAGAAATTTCTCTTATGTCTGGTCTGCTGGTGGCACTCCTAGGATTCCAGAGTTAATGCAGAAATGATTTTACTCAGTCTTTAATTCCTTTAAAAATTATTTATATGTTTATTTTGCAATGCCTTCGTTTGTCTACTCAGTTTCATGTGTAGATATGCAAGTCTGTCTATAGGATCTTGATGTCGTGGTACCCAAAATTGGTTGTAATATTCCAGTCATGTTCTAAGAAGATAGTGTAGGGGGAAGAGGGAGAATCTCCCTCTGCCCTTTCCCTTAAGGTTCTTCTGGCTGGCCAAATAATCAACAAGACAGGTTAGCAGGAGAAAATAATACCAAGTTTAATAACATGTATACATGGGAGAAACTCAGAAATGAGCAACTCGTCCCTCTGTCTAAGCTGCTTGCTTAAGTATTGCAGCTAAAGACGAAGGAACGTGTTGGGGGTGGGTAGTGGCCTGGGACTTCAGAGGGCAGAAGGACAATTCTTTTCAGGGTCATCTATTGATAATTTGGTCAGGGAGAGATAGAGTTTTTTGATAAAAGGGGCTTGGTGCCCCTCCCATAGCAACATCTATTTTACATTATCTTTATAGCCATCATGATAGAAGATCTGTTCCAGGAATGAGCCACCATGCCAGATTCTCTAGGCAGTTAGTGGGGGGGAGGTCAAATATCCTTATTGTCTTCAGCTTGAAATAATCCGCATACCAGAGTGGTGCTTCCTGGGGCAGCTTGCCCTGAGCACCATCAATAGCAAGGGGATTTTATTTTTTATCTGAATATTAGTATTATTGTTGATCTAAAGCCACTGAATCTTCACAATTCTGCTTGAAGTAGACAAAGACAATCTTACTTCAGTTTCATAGATGAAGCCCTGTGTTCTAAGCTGTTATTTTGTATGTCTGATTTTATTTTTAATTTCACCAGCCAAAACAATTATCTCCGCATCTTACTGTTACTGCACAAAACTGGGTTCTCTTGCCTGATGCACATAAAAAAGGCCAATTATTATGACATCAGCTTTTGGGAAAAGAAATGTAGCTTTATTTTGTGAGATTGATCTTCAAGGAAACAGTTGGCCTGTGCCCTCTGATCTGTCTCCCTGATCCCAGGCTTGGGGCACAATTTATGGGATGCAGGGTAGGGCAGTCTAAAGTGTGGAGATGATTGGGAGTAAGGAGAAGTGGAGTAATAGATGATCTGCACAAGTAAGGTCAAGCTTCATGCCTCTTCATAGGATGCATGTTCACAAAATGGAAGTGTTACCATGATCTGATGGTGGAGTTGTTAGCTCCTTGATGTCAAATAGTTCACTTATTGAACATTTGCACAGGCTCAGCTGATGAGTTGGTAGTCTCAACTGGCCTGAAGTGGACAAGGGGTCTCAATTCCTGAAAAACCACTCTTAATTACTCTGTTGGTGAGACAGGGTCAGTTAAACTGGTCCTGGAGGGCCCTTGGTTACACTACCACGTCCTCCTCTCAATCTGATGCTTATTGCCAGTGAGGCCATGCAAAGCTCTGCCTAAGGAGGTTGACCTGATTATCTCTGCGCAAAGAATGGCTCCACTGCTTTGATATAAAGGCTCTAATGGACTCCAAAGTCTGATAGACTCACTGTGTCATCAGTTTCTCTGTAAAGTAAATTACTCTATTTTACAGGCCCCATTTTTCATTGAGGCAAGATTAATATTACCTACTCCAGAGGGTGATATATCATATGTTAGCGAAGAAAGGAACATGTTCAGTGGAAGGTTTTGATGCATCTCTAAATAGAAAGAAAGCACAGATGAGCTTCCTGTGGGGATTCTGGATCCTCTGTCCTATGTCTGGCCTCCAGAGGGTGATGTTGCACAAGCTAGAGATCTCTGTTTCTGTCTTGATCAGAACCTTCCCCTCAGCCCCTCCTTCATGCAGAGAGCCAATTGAAGCATCTTCTCTGAGTTCTTTGAGGTCAGAGGCAAGTGAAAGAAACAGATCAGAAAGCACCCAAGATCATCTCAGCAGTTTTGTATTTTTACCTAAACAAGGAACTTCTCTAACCCAGCCTTACTCACACCTCCTATTTCCAAGAGCTGAGTTCCACAGCCACTTTTCTGCCTGGTCAGATACATCTCTGACCAGGATCTTCCAGATCTTCCAGAAGGAAGCCTGCAGTGTTCCCACTGCTCAACCATGCTCATGGTGTTCATCCCAGTACTGGGGATGCTTTTTACCCTGAGTGAGTATATTCTATTATGGTCTCTAGTTCTACAGAAGTAAATTTTTTCCTATTCAAATTTTAGTAGAAATACTTTTCATAGCCAAGTCTGTACTACTTTTGCTGATATGACATTAATTTTTCAGAAGAAACCAGAGACCGGTCAGTGACCCATCCTGATGGCCATGTCTTGGTCTCTGAAGGAGCCTCACTGAAGCTGAGGTGCAACTATTTCTATGGTAGAGCTCCTGATCTCTTCTGATATGTCTAGTATTCCAGCCAAGGCCTCTAGCCTCTCCTCAAGTACTTTGCAGAGGACACTTTGGTTAAAGGCATCAAAGCCTTTGAGGCTGAATTTAGGAAGGGTGAATCTTCCTTCAACCTGAGGAAACACATTGCTCATTGGAGGGACTTGGCTGAGTACTTCTGTGTCCTGAGTGCAGCAGTGCTGGGGACCGCAGTGGGAGCTGAACACAAACTGTGAGACACTAGGGAGGATAACTGCATCTGAAAGATTTTGGATTCTGACATAGTGGAAGCCATGGTGTTCTTAGTACACAGTATAAAGATGCTCAGGAACTTGCTGAGCCAGTGTGGGGCTGATGTCCAAGAGGTTGGATGTGAGAGTTGAGACATGGCACAGGGGAGTTTCACTTTTCATTTGTCATTTTATCTTTCAATAATTCAAAACAAAAGGTGAACTTTTTTGATGAGTTATCTCCTTCTTACAAACTTACTGTCCTCCCAATTTGGTAATTTTAAGATAGTGACATCGAACCTCTTAATCTCAAATTCTTGTGCCCAATGCACAATAAGCCAAACACTGAGACACCGGTGATTAGAGATGGAGAAAGGTTTATTTGAATTGGCCAAAATAAGAAGGCCAGAGGATAGGTTCTCTCAAATCCACCTTAACAAAAGAAGAAAGCGAGGGGCCATTTTAGAGCTAAGGGGCTTTGGAGGAGGAGTTTCAGAGAAATATAGGGGAAATCCCTGCGTTTCTTTCAGTCCAGATAAGCCCTTGGGCGATCAGCCGTCTGGGTGTCAATGGCAGCTGGGGGCTTGTTACCTGGAGATAGCAACTTCCTTAAAGGAATTCTTTTTCTTCTGCACAACAAACTCCTAACTCCTTGTGGCCCTTGAGTCACCCCTGAGGTTAAACAAGAAATCAGCAAATTAACAAGGTTAATTTCTTTTCATGTGTGTCTGTGTGGGGAACAAAGTCAAATGGTAATCATATTCTTCTTGAATATTTGCAGTAACCCTCAGGTACCTGGCTTCTATAGTTTTCCCGGAATCTTTCTTCCTGGCTCCACTCTGCTGGTTATTTTCTCTCATTTTTATGTGCTCCATCTAGGAGGGATGACATGATTAGGATGGTGAATAGCTTGGAATATGGTGTGCTTATATAGATTTTACTAACTTACCAGGAATATTGCAGAAACAAGGGTGAATAAGTAAAAAATTTTAGTATTTCTTGAATGATTATTAAGGAGAAAAGACAGGCTAAATCTAGATGCCAAGTCACATTTATTTTAAAGAAAAGCTTGTTTTATTTTTCCCAATCATAACAATAGATTCTTATTCTTTTGATGTTAAATTCTGCAAAGCCATATCAGAAATCCTCAATATTGATGGGATAGTTACTTTTGCGAATTTCTCACAAATGTCTTTTTTCTTTTTTTTACTTTTATTCTATTTTCATATGATTTCACTTTTGGAATATTAGAGATTGCTTCTTATCTGTGTGACATTGCTATAATGATGTGCAAAGTTTAGCAATGTCTGGCCCCTGAAGATATACTGATTAAAAATTGCAATGGGAATTAAAAGGTCAAAGGGCATGTGATAGATGTATGACTTTCCCCTGGCTAGAATGAAAACCTCCTCATGAAGTCTTTGTATTCTTAAGTACCTGACGCCTTGGAAGTTAGTGATGACTTTGAAAGTATGTAAGGGGCAGGACTGGAGGGGAGTTGGACTTTTTAGCTGCATACTTTCTGATGCTGTGAAGAGTAAGAGATTTCGGTTATAGGAATTCAGAGATATAGAGAATAGCTGTGGATTGTGTTTAGTGATTTACCTTAGCCAAGGGGAACACCAGTAAGGATCAGCGTTATTTTTCAAGTCTTATTGATATGGCTATTTGTGTTATATGTATTTGATGGATTTCTGGAAATGGGGTAAGAGACATAAAATTATTCATAAGACATTTATGCTTATTTAATATGTTTTGTTTTTCAGACTACAGTCTCTGCTATCTCTGAGAGGCAGATTATCTTTACGAGACTTATGGTCACCAACTCAGTTCCATGACCCAAAATGACTGCAAGTGGGTATTTATCAGTATGTGTAAGAAGGAGAAATGGCAATTTCTTTCAATTCCAGACTGAAGCTGAGTATGAGGAAATATAACTCCTGGTAACAAGGACCTGAAGAGCCTGGGAAAACATTTTCCATCCTCACAGCATCAACCCTGCCTGAGATATCAAAGTTTGTTTTATTTGCATAATTATTTTACAATTGTGAAAAACTTTGCACAATACACAAATAGGTTAAGGAGAAAAAAGAAGTCTCCATTTATTTTAACATAGTTATATTTGTCATATAAACAAATTGTAGCATATTTTAAAAATATATTATCTATATCTCTTCATGTTAATAAATATACCCAAATATAAAGTTTCAATTTTTAAAAAATAAATAAAACATTACAGATAAAATTGCCATCTCTTTTATTTTTCTCCTCAGTCTCTCTCCTTCTCTTTCTCAAGACAAACTTATTGTGAACTCTGTTTCTCTAGGACATGTTTTTACATTTCTAGTACGTATATGTTTATCTCTAAACGATGTGTGATGTACTTTGTGTTTTTAAGATTTATGTGAATGCTATCCAAATGTATATGTAATTGTGAAACTTGCTTTTTTAATTAAAAATACTTCTGAAATATGGAAAAATTTATACATATAGATGTATTTCATTACTTTAATGAAATGTTACTTTAATTACTGCTGTGTAGTATCCTGTTTTAGGAATATGTCGTATGTCCCCTTTTGATGGACATTTGTATTGTGTCATCAGTGATGGTCTTAGCCTCAACTAGACAATCAAATTTACAAAGCTCAATAGGTCACATAAGTATCGGCTTCCCTCATGCCAGGATGTTTTTAAGGGGAATCCCTCAGCTGTCTACATAGGAATTCAGGGACTATCTGTAACTCCTCCTCTCCTCCTCTCACATCAAGTGCTCAGGGGTGAGGGAACAAGACCAAACAGGCCACCCAGACTTTGAAGCCCTGTGTCTCAAATAGGACTCAATATCTCCTGTAATAGTTACAAAAATCACTGCCCAATAGCTATGGCTTCCTACAAAGTATTCACCATTTATTTCTAGTCCAGATGCAATTTACTGATCAGAGGTCGTTTTACCATAATAATGCTCCCTAATAATACAGCTGACATTTTACCTTTATCAGGTTTCCAGAGGAACAGAGGTAGAAAAGTAACCTCATTTTTTTCATGTAGAAGGAGAAAGGGTTTCGTTAATTCGTTACTCAAGAGTTGCTTCTAATTTTTTATTATTATCAAAATTTACAAGGAATATAGTTATGTTTCCTTATATGTAGGTGCAGAATGTTGTGTTATACACCTAGAAGTGGCATTGCTGGGTTTACATGATTTACACTTTTAAAAATTTACTTGCTCTTGCCAAATTACTTTCCAAAATGTTCCCACCAATTTTCATCCTTATCAGCAGCATAAAAGAACTCCTATTTCATCAAATCTACGTATTTGATAGTCCCTCTATCATGTCCCCTCTTCCCTAGCTGTGTTTTCAAGGTTGACTTTTGGAGGAATGCAATCTAAGTGTTTTGGTACAGAAGTAGGTTTAGCAAGAAACACACAGAATGAGATTCTGGAATTAATTTATTCATGGCCAAATGGCAACAGGACCTCATTCATTATTAGAGATAAGTGGGGTGATGATAAGTCCTGACAGGTTGCAGCATCACAATTACTAATTACTCGTGGTGAATTGGCATGAGATTCAGGTATAAGTTGTTGCAGTAGCTTATGTGATACCTTTTTCATTTGAGAGGTGTTGTGATAATGGTAATTTTATGTGCTGTGGAGTTGGTTCACAGTGGTTAGGGTCCAGCAGGGAAGAGTAAGAACAAAATGGAACCTGCCAACACCACAGTGTTTGTCTTTCACCATCTTTAACCAACAAGGATCATCAAAAGATAATGGCTACTCCATTCTGTCTGCCTCCCAAATCTTGTGAAAATTCACTTTTGTACTCAAAACCATAAAGAGAGAGGATTTGGGGAAATGTAGTTTCCTACACACCCAAGTTGACATTAGAATAACCCAGTATAGAAAACAGAACCACTGTGAACAAAAAGAAAATCTTTACCTCCTGCGTATCATTCTCTCCCAATTCAGAGATTCCTCAAATTTTTTTTTATTACATTCAATGAGAATTACTCAGGAATCGTTACGAGTATCTGAGGAGATGGAATGGTTAGAGCACCAGCTTCAAGGGTAGAAGATTGTTATTATCACAAACTGGAGACCTTGTATGAGAAAAGTTAGGGATAGGATCAGAAGGCAAGGAATTCAGAATTTCAAAAAAATGTATCAATTGTGAAACTGTAGTCACAAACACATTAGCACGGTCTCACTCTTCATCTCAGTGACAGAGCAAATTTCTTGTGTCATTTATTGCACACTCATTTAAAAACATTTATTAAGCAATTTACTAAGTGCATGTGACACACCTTTAGAGCTCCTGTGAGGTCTTAACAAAGGTTTAAAACTTTCATGTAATAATAGAAGACAGTATATTTGTCATTAGCTTAATTCCTGCTTTTCATGTGTGGTGGTTCTTCTCATGTTCACTCCCATTATTTTGAAAAAATGACAAAAATTCCAAATGACAATTTATGAACTATTATTGTCGTTATAATCCACATTCAGTTACTATCTGTTCTAATTATTACAGAGGCTTCTGATTACA